TTCGCGAAAGTGTCGAGTGTGAACTGCTGTAGGACCAATTGGTTTAAGAGTCCTGATAATATCATGACAATAGTCTTTCGAAAAAAATTGAATTTTTATCGACCTAGTTTTTCGGTAACATTACAACATGTCGTCAGTGCGAAATATTTATTTCGTTTCACAGCGATAGCTTCTGGAACATTAGAACAAAGCACACCGAGTTTAATATTGAGACAGATCATAAGCATTTCTGCATACTTCGTATAAAAAATATAAAGCTGTCCCTGTAAGAGGCCTGGATGCCTATAGAGTTGTGAGACATCGAGCCTCCCACATTTTCTGTAGACAGTCTTCTCAAAGAAGTTGTTAGCCTTATGCACCGGCTGTCCTTTACCCCCAAGAAGATATCTAATTCTCATTTCTGTTAGAGGCTGAATCGAATCCAGGTCCATGGTGCGTCCGGGTAAGCAAACAAATCCAACATGACGATGATACAAAACTTTACCCTTTAGATGTCTGAGACTTAAAACCGTGATAGGGGAACAATATGTCTAGTAATATGGATTTAATATAATGAAAGTTTTAATCGTTAAATGAGACATCGTTTTTATGCACCTGTCAGGATTTTGTTGTAGTTCAAGTATATGAAGATTCATTGAATGCATGTGATCTTTTACGTAGCTAAACAAGAATAAAAGAGAAAACTGCATAATGTGGAGCTTCATAACTTGTACTCTTCTCCAAGTATAATTAGAATGATCAAGTCAAGGAGGATGAGGTGGGCAGGGCATGTAGCACGAATGGAGGAGACGAATGCGTATAGGTTATTGGTGGGAAAGCCAGAAGGAAAGAGACCACAGGGAAGACCAAGGCATAGGTGGGTGGACAATATTAAAATGGATCTTAGAGAGATTGGATGGGATGGTATTGATTGAATAGATCTGGCTCAGGATAGGGACCAGTGGAGGACTCTTGTGAACACGGTAATGAACCTTCGGGTTCCATAAAATGCTGAAAAATTCTTGAGTAGCTGCAGAATTGGCGGCTACCCCAGAAGGCCTCAGCACCATGAATAAGTAAGTAAACAAGAATAAATGTCTAGGAAAACGAGTCCGGAGATCATGATGTCCATGCATTTTTCAAGGAGATATGGTCACCACAGAACTCTTTTATATTGTTGCACACTTCGTATTGTGACATGACGCCTGAAAGCTGCAATATATCCATCTGCTGGGCGAGGCTTCTCTGAGAACGTTTCCGTGACCGCACTAATGGCGTCGCTGCTGGACAACGAATTGTTGGAACACGTTTCCACGGCAACGAATAAAACTGAAGAAACAAAGCATTGCATACAGTCACGTCAGTTCCTAGTACCGCATACAGAAACGTTTCCGTTCACACGGCAACGAACCTCCAGAGCAAAGTAACAACGAACAACGCAATAACTCTACTGCTGAAGGTGGTGATCTGCATTCCCTTCTACCAGAACCTACCTCGGGGAGAGAATTGACCAACAGAAGACACACTACGACAGAAGACTGAAGAAGTCAGAAGTGAAGATTTTACTTTATGTCATATAACCTTTACAGTGTTATCATTGTTCGTAGTTTTTCTTTTAATGCTAGTAGGGTTGGACTAAGTCGCTTGTACTGCGGCCACTTCTGGCCACTTGTACCAGCCCCAGATGACAGGTGAGTGCGATTGTGGAGCAATTGATGGAATGAAGGTTGGCATGGGAAACCGAAGTACTCGGATAAAACCTGCAACAACGCCACTTTGTCCACCACAAATCCCATTTGACCAGACCCGGGATCGAACCGCTTGAGCTATGGCGCGGCCAAATTGTTCGTAGTTACGAAGTGTTATAGTTACAGTAAGATTGTGTAACAACTAATTATATTTCTGCCTTGTGAATATCCAATAAATCGATTCATACAACTCCGGAACCCATTAATTACTTGTCGCGTTACCAGGAATCACGTGACAGTATCATTCTGTAATAAACCATCCCATTCGGCTTCATTCAGTAAAACTATGAATTACGAAGTAGTTTACTGCCTCGAAGGAAAAGGGGCCCAAGTACATGGCGACGTAACAGAGAACAAAATAGGCCTATGTTTTCCGGGTGCTTTGTCACCTCATGGAAAACGTCTGGGTTGTGACTGTTCTACATTCTGTTGTTTTGTCTGTTAACACATCTACTTAAGTGAAACCGTACCTCATCCGTAAAGAAAACACTTTTCAAGATGTTGACACCATTTGGAGCGAGCTGACGAAACCACTGACAATAACGTACCCTTTCTGTTTTGTCTGGTGCTCTTAAGTTAATGCATTGTGTCAATTCGGCATGCACGAATCAGCAGATGCTTCGTGTCCCTTTGTACGCTTATCCACCTCGCTGAAAAAATGTTATTTAACACATTGAAGCATGAAATTCTTCTAAATAACATTTAGAACTTCAGTTCATACCTCACAGAAAACAGAGTGTTTCTCCATTAAAATCGGGGTACGAGGTAGCGTAGTTGGTTGAGGCACTATGCTACAAGCCGGAATATCGCGGGATCGATTCCCAATGATATGGATCTTTTCAATTTATCTAATACTTCCAGCCTCACTATGGCCCTGGGGTCGACTCAGCCTCTAACAAAAATGAGTACCGGGAATATTCTTGGGGGCAAAAGGCGGCCGGTGCGTAGAGCTAACAACCTTACCACCATCTGTGAGCCGATTGTCTAGAAAATTTGGGACCCTCGACGTCTCACAAACCTATGGGCCTTCACGGCCTGTTACAGGGATAAGTTTACCTTTACCTTTTATCTTTCTCCATTAAAATCAACAAATTTTTCAAGATGCTACACGGTGTTATATCCCAGAAGACTGAGCTCTTCATAACCGATGTGAGAACCTCGAATCTTATAACTTAAAGATAATGAGGCAACTTAAGTATAATTATCTTTAACAGCGGTGATCGCCCCTCTAAATATCTTTTCCCCTTTAGACCTTGGTCTTGCCAACTGCTGTTTTCTGAATCGCCTTTTTCAGGAATTTAACGCCTGCACTTTTCGAGGTATCCCTTTTTTTTCGTAGAGTTGGATGAGACTGAGTCCACTTGATACACCGCTCACTAATTACCCTGTTGTACCAGCCCCGAAAGATAGATGAGTGTTGAGGGTTTGGTGGAATGAGAATTGGCAGGGGAAAACCGAAGTACTCGGAAGAAATCTGCCCCAATTCCACTGCTTCCACCACAAATCGTGCTTGACTTGACCTGGGATCGAACCCAGACCGCCGTGTTGGGAAGCTGGCGCCTAACAGCCTGAGCTACGGCACGGCCATTTTTCGAGGGTTTGTTTTACGGGATACGCTGACACGAGTAAGAAAAGCTGAGTCAGGATGGAATCATTTTCTAATTCTTTGGTCTACCAAATCTTCGTGGTTTGAAGTTATATTTTCTGCTTAGTCGAAATTTATCATTCCATCGTGAATCGCATTTTCAGACGGCCCCTACCGAGTAACATTCGCGAGCCGGTTTAATATAAATATGCCTTTCCAGCGGTTGACTTGCAAGCCAGGAGGATATGTTTCAGTCGCTACTGAATTCAATTTGCTTGAATTACTCGAGTACCCTTCCGAGTACCAACTGTCTTAATTTTCTGTTATAGCAGTAGCTTCTTGGGGTGGGGTGACACTGAGTCCATTTGGTACGTCGGCCACTGTTTGGCCTATTGTACCAACCCCAGATGAGAGATGATGATGATGATGATGAGTGTGGAGCAGTCGGTGGAATGAAACCGAATTGCTCGGAGGAAACTTTCCCCAGTGTCACTTTGTCATCACAAATCACATGTGACCTAACCTGGGCTCAAACCCGGGCCGAGGCGGTGGGTGCTATACCAGTAATTAATAATTATCATTTTATAGAGCCCGGGATAGCTCAGTCGGTATAATTGTTACGTCGCGGACCGGAAGACTGGGGAATTATACTTGGATCTACGACTAGGGAAAAGAGAGTTCTCTAGTTCAGACAGGATCTGGGGCCACACAGTTCCTTATCCAATGGGCACGGGCACATGGAGGGCCAACAGTACCTTTCCCCACGATGTTTCGTTTCACGCATTGCATAGATGCAATATTAAACGTAAAAGAAATATTGCATAGAACAGGTCTTCTTTACTAGTAATGATAAAAGTGAACTCGCAAAAATTTCCTGATTATTAATATCTATAAATTTCTAAGTATCTGCAGAGTCTTATCATCTGATATATAACGGCATGTAGTTCTTTAGAAATTCGGAGTGTTCTGCCTGTATCTTCAGGATCGAATAAGCCAAAGAAGAAAGCAGCGAGAAGTAGCTGCCATGACGAGCTCTCTTTAGCAATTATTACTTTCTAGTTGCTTTTTTAAATTCCTCTTCGATTCTGTTTGATTCTTGCTGGTTCTTTGCTTGGTTTATTCTTCGACCATGTAGATGTCGGCAGTACGTTTCTCCGAAACGCTGATGAACTACCGAACTACATGTAGTTACATCACAGAAGATAGTACTCTTCGTAGCCAAAGCTGTAAGAACCTCAGAGTTAATATGTGTAATGTGACATGAGGCCTGGATTAATCCATTCCCAGACAACGGCTCATTAACACGTTTTCGTGACAAGACGGAAAGTCCATTTGCTAGGTAACGGCTCGGTAAAGACCTGAACCCTGAATAGTGGAGCCTGAAACAGAATTATCCGTTCAGTAGGCAACGGTTGATGCACGTTCCCGTGACAACGCATTCATGAAGAGCAGTATTGGAACCTTCTGAGGCGGTGATCCCTATTCAGTTCTTTGGCAGGTATAAGATAATTAATTCGGAATTCAAGAGATTGTTCCTGCGGAATTTGGAAGACAGAAGGAGTTAAATGTGTAAGCTGTTTTAATTGAATGTAATTGTAATCGAAGTACCAATAAATCCAATCATCTAATCCAGAACCAAATATCATTAGTCACGTGACATTATGCTAAGATTTTTATTTCATTTGCAGGGACTCCAGCCTTACAAGAAGAAGGGTGCTGTGATGCAGGTAAGGAACAGACCGGATATTAGCATCTGAGCTTTCTTTTATTGCTAGTGGGGTGGGACTAAGTCCCTTG